TCTCTACTCTATAGTGTGTAATATGTCTATTTATTTCTCTACATTCCCTCTGCATATTCTGGGGTTTGTCTCATGTAAGGTGTCAATACTGGATATCTTCTCGGATATACTTTGTCGCCATTCAAAAACAGCTCAGTCGGGAAAGGTGATTCTTGTTCTATATTTCTCATCAACATATATTGCTGATGCCAAAGAAATCCGCACTAAATATAACATATCCTGTCTTTGTTCAATATAACAACTTGAGTGTGAATGCAGTGACAATGTTTGTGTCCTTGGAAATACTATTCTTGTAGTTTCGTTATCGGCCACAAACTTTCCGTCGATAGCCCTATTGCAAACGGAAGTTTTGGCCACCTACCAAAGAAATAGGTATACATGTATGTTTCATCTTTGGTAGTCGAAGCACTAACGTTAACTATTTCAGAAATAAAATGATAAGACGGGTACGATTGTAACCATAACATAAACGAAGAATTATTTTTCCCGGTGAAAGCTTATGATCCCGATCGGTTTTCTCTTTGAAGAGATCATTAACATCGGCTACAATTTGAAGTAATGTTTCAGGAGTTTCACCTGTAAAAGGAATACCGTTTGTAAAGTGTATATCATTGCCTATAATATTGTGAAAGATTGGTTTGTTGGTGGTCAAGCTAGGACTACCAGGGTTAGAATCAGATGACGAATGAAATGTGTACCATAACATCTGGTGGAGTCTGCATCAGGGCAGGTTTTGTTGCCATTATCAATCTGTGTTTTTCATCCATATAAACGGAGGGAAATAAAATAAATGCAAGAAATACACTTATCATTTATTCATTTTTTTCGTTTTAATAGTTCCACTTGCTTTACAAAAGCCGGCGGTATATAGTAATTGGAAGTCGTTCATCTTTTAAACGATTACACTTTTGTATCCACAACTGCTCCTTAACCGACTTAAATAGTACAATGTGATTTTTTTTAACAATAACGTTTAAATCTTGCCAAATAATGTAAACGGTATTTTTCTACTGTTTTTAACGTTAAAAATACATTACATGTAGTAAATACAGCGTTGGCGATTTTTTTTTAAATATCAGCTTATGATTTATTTCTAATGAAATATAAAAATGTTTCGTTATAAAGAATGTTTCATGTGTTAGATTAAGATTCGGATCCAATTAATATTCGTGTGTATTCAAATATCTATACAAGCAAAGAACATTCAAGTCTAGAATGATGTAATATAGTTTTATTTGATAACATATAACTACTTTATTTCTGAAGAAATATAAAAAAAAAGATCATCGTTTAAAAAATTGTATGACTTGCATTAAATCTAAAATTAGGTTCACAGGCATCTGAGTACTTTAAAAGACAACTTGAGTGCTTAAAGAATATATAAACGAAATTCTTAGGGGTCTAAACTTTGAAATGCTTGATTTAATTCAAAATGTAATGCATGTATATGTTTAATGCAACTTGAGTATATTTTGTAAACGAAGAAACGATGCAAAGGGGCATTTAGAACCCATGAGTCGAAGAAAAAAAGTCTCCACCATGGTCAAAAGAAAAACGACGAAAATACAAACGAAAGTCCACAAACCTCCACAAAGAAACACTGAGTTCATTTCTCCATGACGAACAAAAAAATCGACTGATTTTGGCGAATCATGGTATACGTTTTCCAATTATAACGGCAACGTTTAAATAATTGAGACCTCTGACAAATGAGGATAATTTGACAAACCACAATATAAATTGAATCAAGTTGACGCTAACGATAGCCGAAAATTACCATTTGGCGCCTGATGGTAAAAGGCATTTCAACCATCTTGAAAGATTTCTAGGATAACTTATTTCAACACGGGCTCGTATATGTAAAGACGAATATATCTCTGCTTTGTATTTCCATTGCATTGAAAGATATTTCTTGTTTTATTTTTCTAGTTGATCTCGTTAGGCCGTCATAAAACAATTTATAGTAACAGAACTTATTTAAATACATCAAACTGACAAGTTGTCACAGCAAGCTAATATGGTCAGTAAGTGGAAACTAAGAAGAAAAAAATCTAGACAAAGCAAAAAAAAGTCATATTAAACATAAAAACCACGAAGAGCCACTGGTCTGACAAGTGTTTCAAACTGGTCCGAGTTGTCTTTCAAACTGTCCGCGCCGTCTTTAAAAGTGGTCCGATGTGTCTTTAAATTAGCCCGAGTTGTCTTAATCCGGTTTGCATTTGGTCCGAGTTATCCTGATAACACCTCAAGCTGCCAAGATGACATTTTTTACCCATATTTCTTTGAAATCTCTTTGTTCAACTATAGAAAAAACATCATAGGAGTTAGTCTTTGTTTTGAACTGAGGGTTTATATTACACTTTGAAACTACCCAAGATTTAAATGCTACCTGTAAGTGTAATTGTAATCCTAATCGTAGGTGTTTGACAGTTTCCGCAAATGTCTACTAATCAGACAAACGTAAATACAGCATGTATAAGTATTGTAAAAATCAATAAAAGAAAGAACAAAATATATAAATAGAAAAGCTGTTTCTCTTTTTTATGGGGAATAACATGTAGTGACAAATAATCGTTTAAAATTTAAAACACCCGTTATTGTACTGTTTTTCTATAGCTCTGCTAGGGGCAAAGTCGTACAAATATACCTACGTGCTATTTATGAAACTGAGTTATTTTCTGATTGAAAATACCCCATTCCATACACTCGCTGACCACAATACAATATAAATAAACACATCTGCCTATATGAATACAAGATTCTCATAACTATAGGTAAGATATTGTTTGTTCACAATATTATCTTTTAAACGATCATATTGTGTAAATTCAGATAACAGGTCCGTGTTTATAAATAGCTTGAAGAGTCAACATCAAATGTATTCTTTAAATCTGTTTATATAACTGAATACATATTGTGGGTACAGACGATGTATAAAACTCGAACCAGTGTGTGTAAAGATTAACGTTTTCACTATCATTTGTGTAATTAGTATTAAAACATATTAATTTTGATATCAAAGTTAAATATTTTTGTTTTCTCTTTTTTTTATATGTGTTATATTTCGTATACTGTAAGTTAAATTAATTCAATAATTAGGGATGACACTTTTCTTTTCTTTCAAAACGAAAATGGTAAGAATAGAATATATCTGAGGAGCCTTTCGCAATGTGCAAGTTAGCTCCTATTTACCAATCAAAGAATACAAACGTTGCGAAAACAGAAGTCACTCACGAGAAGGATATTTTTGTTTATTATTCCAAACATAATATTTTTATTTTTAGATATACATTGTATTATATTACACAGTCGTCATGCAATAATGTGACGTCAAACATTATTTCTATAAATATGTAAGCTATTTGTTAATCTGACTGTGATTTTCGAAATACATGATAATATATACAAATATTTGAATAGCTGATATATCATTCGCTGCAGAAGTTCTTAAACGATCATTGTTTTACAGAAGTTTGTTGCTTTAACATAAAAAAAAGGTTTCAGTGACACAGCGTTACATGATCTGGTGTTTATTATTATGGTGTGTATGCAGTTGGGGAATTTCCTCTCAAAAAGGTAACTTTCATATTCCAAACGGAAGTAATGTCGATCGCCATGATTAACCAAACAATTTAAATTACAATAACTATCTAATTATTAAGAAAAGATAATAAAAGCATATCAATGCGAAGATAGTTTCATGCGATTGATGCGTTTTTTATTAAGGAACTCGATCTTTCTATTTGCCAAAAGTTGACTCTTAATCCTATAATTGATGGGGAGACACATGTACATGTATCTCAATATACATTTTGAAAATAATATATATATAGAATAATGTCCCTACTAAAAGTCTCTGTGATCTATATCATTTACGTTCGATTTTTTAAAATTTTGTTGAAATAATATATATCATTACAATGCTTTGAGCAATTATATTCTGTATTATATATCATAAAAAAGGAAATTCTTTCATATGAAAAAAAACCCAAACTATTAGGAGCAATGGCTACGTTCTGATATGAATTAGTCCTAGACTGTTTTTGTGATTTTGTTGTTCATCTCATTGCAGTTTTTTGGGAAATTAAAGACTTACCAATCACTTTTGGAGGAAATGTTACTCTGTTCTGTAACACAACGTCTATTCGCGGAAATAAGGTTACGTGGATGAAGAAATCAGACGTTATTGTCCATCATGGTTTAGTGTTTTACAGATCTAAGTTTGCAGAAGATTCTGTAAGCGGAGGTTCTTTTTTGACAATCATGAATGCTAATGAGAGTGATTTTGGTGTGTCATATACTTGCATAGCTGACATATTTTCATTTGATTCGTTGCTGGATTTTGATGTATTGAATGTTTCAGGTAAAGCATCATGTATAGGTATTATAAGAGCCATTATTTGGACCCTGAAATTGCAACAACAACAACAACAAAAAACACAAAAAAAAACGCGTTGAAGCCTTTCAATATTATGTTAATTCTATAACTTAATGAAGATGCATTTATTGGAAAACTTTATTGCAGAAAGATCACTGGTTATGTCAATTACATTTCGAAATTTGAAATTTACTTTTTTTTTTACGTAGGAGGCCATTTCACGCAATCCAAAGATTTTGGTTAAAATATATATAATATTTTATAATTTAAATAGATTGGCCCAAACCGTGGCCTTATCATATCTGCGCCTTTGGTATCATATATGTTTAATACTCTGTATTTCAGGAATTTAAAACAAAATTTCCCAGTGAATGAATTTTCAATTAAAAGGACAACTTCCGTCGGAACGCGATCTAAAATGTCTGAACGTAAAAGACTACAATGCGTGTTAAGATTTCTAAGGATTGCTTATTCATGCTCTTGTGGTACTGCATGCTCAGAAACTCTGCTTAAAGTTAATCTATACTTGATCTGTAACATTTTTACAATAGCTATAATCAGATTTAACAAATATCTTCTTAAAAATTCGTATGCCATTTTCTGGTTTGGCGTATAAATCTGTTTCACATTGAAATTAACCTTATATCTTACTGTTCTATCTATAGCTTTACCAGGTGAAAATGATGTATACATTTCATGGAATCTAGCATCAAGAAGACTTCTTAGAATATACTTTGCGCGGATCTTTCCAATACCACATTGCCAAATATTTCATAATGTAAGTGACAAAATTAATTAAAAGAAATAGAAGATCCCCCCCCCCCCCCCCCCCCCCCAAAAAAAAAAAAAAAAAAAAACAAAACGAAAAATCCCCCTTCTCCCAAAGGATTTAAAACATAGAAAATTCTTTGTAGCATTTATCATTTTTCCTTATTTGTTGTTAAATATAATAATATAAAACTTGATATCAATTCTCATTTGAAACTGATTGTATCATGTCTCGTTTAGGGAACCAGCATCTTACACACAACAACGACAATAAGTGAACGAGATGGTTACTTCTACAATGTCAGCGTATCTTTTGTTAGCCCTTATCAAATGGAGTTATGTGATGGATACTTAGACATACAATGCAGTTTGAACAATCATACGATTTCAGTTGGAAATAAAAGTGCTCTACCAGTCTGTAATGGTCAGTTTCATAAAATACAATTATTAGTTACTTACTCTTTTGCATAGTAGTATGACATTTTAAAATTCAATTTATTTCACATTGGCTCAGTTTGATTTGTTTATACATTGTAGATTTGAAAGAAAAGAGAAATGGTAGAATCCTTCTTGTTATTCTCGGGATCGTAGCATTGGTGTTATTGCAATGCGGTCTAAGTAGAATTATAGCCAGCGATGCACGACAATTAAAAGATACTGCATCTACATTAACAATCAATCCAAAGCAGGTAATGAAAATTATTATCACTTTCAAAATTGCAGTTGTTGTATTGGTTAGTAAATAATGAAAAAGCTGTTAAATATTAGTTTAGATCTAGACAATTAAACAAAATCACTGCAATAAAAAATTATAACACTTCACATTTTTTTTGGTAAATGCATTTATGTTATTTCTCCTTTTCTTCGTTCAGATAAGTCGGTTAACAGATTAATTAACTGAACATTTTCTTAAAGTGAACTATTTCCTTATTACATGATTTTTTGCATACGTAATGTGATTTTATTTGAAATGTAAAAAATATTTCGTAATTACATATTTAATCAATTCGCTAGAAAATATTCATTTATAATTCAATTGTTATTTAAACAAGATGCCGAATTGTAATATGCAAACTAATATTGTTTTCGATCTGTGAATAGCTGCGTGGATATCTATATATTAATAGTACTAGTACTTACTTTTTTTCTGATACCCAATAAAAGCTGTCTTTAAATTTTCACACTGGACGTAAAGCTAGCGATAATCAACCAATCAGCCTTTATACGTGTGTTGAACGATAATTGTCAATAATCAGTCGAACATTTGAGTAACAGATTTGTATTTCCAAAAGGTTTATCTGTAGGTGCACACGTTAAAGAGAAACGTATTTTCGATTTTTGTTCTGTGAACTTGTAGAATCTACTTTGCAATAGGATATATCTACATGTATATTATACAACGTTCTGATAATAAATTGAATAAACGTCAAATATATAGCCTAGTTGGGTGAGTGATCTAGAGCGCTGGACACGGTGATGGCGGTGTTGCCAAGGATGTCTCAGATGCAGGAATTCAAATCTCGCTGAGTTAAGAACTAACATTTTGCAGATCAAATACTGTTGGCCTTAATCTTAAAAGAAGTTTATCTATAACATTTTTCAAATTAAAAATCGAAACAACCATGCAGGAAATTACGGCTTGAAATATTTCTAAGATGTTATAGGTTATGAATATTAAGTATTAACAATAGGCGGAAATGCGTATCGGTACATTTGTAATGAAACAACACAACCAGCTGCTGTCAGTAGCTCACTATTTGATTTGAATCGCAACTTTAAATTTTGCCATTTGATGCCAACGTTTTTAACTTTCTTATCCAAATATTTCCCGATAGTTCTATCCTTCCTGGTTTTGTCGAGCGATATGGCCCCTGACATAGCACATGGTGTGCTGTAACGATTTCAATGAAGCATGGGTTTGATATCCCGCTGTGGAAAAATACGCATTTGGTTCCAAAAATATGCACACCTATCACAGTGACTGTTCAGCTTAATTTCATACACGCATATATATATATGTAGAATCTACTTTGCAATAGGATATATCTACATGTATATTATACAACGTTCTGATGATAAATTGCATAAACGTCAAATATATAGCCTAGTTGGTTGAGTGATCTAGAGCGCTGGACACGGTGATGGCGGTGTTGCCACGGATGTCTCAGATGCAGGAATTCAAATCTCGCTGAGTTAAGAGCTAACATTTTGCAGATCAAATACTGTTGGCCTTAATCTTAAAAGAAGTTTATCTATAACATTATTCAAATTAAAAATCGAAACAACCATGCAGGAAATTACGGCTTGATATATTTCTAAAATGTTATAGGTTATGAATATTAAGTATTAACAATAGGCGGAAATGCGTATCGGTACATTTGTAATGAAACAACACATCACTGAAGAGACATTAATTGTCGAAATCCGGATATGGTGTACAAAAACCTTTGCACCTTTTGTTTGCGGTATAACATCTTTTCCGCAAGTTTATTGTTTTCTGTTTAGTATTAAATTTATATTTAAGATCCATTTATTACATTGGTGATCCGTTTATTTGGCAATCGCCAATGGCAGTCAGCAGGGTTTAAGAACATGTGTTGTTCGACCTGTTAGTCAAATGCGTTTTGTTAAAATATACTTTTTCACTTTTTTGGTCTTTTGGAAAATGTTGTTTGTGCTGTATTTAGACCCCTCTAACAAGAAATTTGTTTTGCATGCACACGTATAAAAATTGCGGTTTTTATCCAACGCAATCATAGGTTTGAACGTTGTTTTCAATTTAGACTTGTTTATATTTTTTCGTTTGGGATTGTATTATATTTGCCTTCGGGTTTATATGATCCGTTCATCCTATTTTGACTCCTCAAAATTCAGGAGTCTATCCTAAATTGAGGTAAATTGTATGGCTTTCCAAATACCGTTTCGATTCCTAACATCACTGAAGAGACATTAATTGTCGAAATCCGGATATGGTGTACAAAGACCTTTGCACCTTTTGTTTGCGGTATAACATCTTTTCCGCAAGTTTATTGTATTCTGTTTAGTATTAAATTTATATTTAAGATCCATTTATTACATCGGTGATCCGTTTATTTGGCAATCGCCAATGGCAGTCAGCAGGGTTTAAGAACATTTGTTGTTCGACCTGTTAGTCAAATGCGTTTTGTTAAAATATACTTTTTCACTTTTTTGGTCTTTTGGAAAATGTTGTTTGTGCTGTATTTAGACCCCTCTAACAAGAAATTTGTTTTGCATGCACACGTATAAAAATTGCGGTTTTTATCCAACGCAATCATAGGTTTGAACGTTGTTTTCAATTTAGACTTGTTTATATTTTTTCGTTTGGGATTGTATTATATTTGCCTTCGGGTTTATTAGATCTGTTCATCCTATTTTGACTCCTCAAAATTCAGGAGTCTATCCTAAATTGAGGTAAATTGTATGGCTTTCCAAATACCATTTCGATTCCTAACATCACTGAAGAGACATTAATTGTCGAAATCCGGATATGGTGTACAAAAACCTTTGCACCTTTTGTTTGCGGTATAACATCTTTTCCGCAAGTTTATTGTTTTCTGTTTAGTATTAAATTTATATTTAAGATCCATTTATTACATCGGTGATCCGTTTATTTGGCAATCGCCAATGGCAGTCAGCAGGGTTTAAGAACATTTGTTGTTCGACCTGTTAGTCAAATGCGTTTTGTTAAAATATACTTTTTCACTTTTTTGGTCTTTTGGAAAATGTTGTTTGTGCTGTATTTAGACCCCTCTAACAAGAAATTTGTTTTGCATGCACACGTATAAAAATTGCGGTTTTTATCCAACGCAATCATAGGTTTGAACGTTGTTTTCAATTTAGACTTGTTTATATTTTTTCGTTTGGGATTGTATTATATTTGCCTTCGGGTTTATATGATCCGTTAATCCTATTTTGACTCCTTAAAATTCAGGAGTCTATCCTAAATTGAGGTAAATTGTATGGCTTTCCAAATACCGTTTCGATTCCTAACATCACTGAAGAGACATTAATTGTCGAAATCCGGATATGGTGTACAAAAACCTTTGCACCTTTTGTTTGCGGTATACCATCTTTTCCGCAAGTTTATTGTTTTCTGTTTAGTATTAAATTTATATTTAAGATCCATTTATTACATCGGTGATCCGTTTATTTGGCAATCGCCAATGGCAGTCAGCAGGGTTTAAGAACATTTGTTGTTCGACCTGTTAGTCAAATGCGTTTTGTTAAAATATACTTTTTCACTTTTTTGGTCTTTTGGAAAATGTTGTTTGTGCTGTATTTAGACCCCTCAAACAAGAAAATTGTTTTGCATGCACACGTATAAAAATTGCGGTTTTTATCCAACGCAATCATAGGTTTGAACGTTGTTTTCAATTTAGACTTGTTTATATTTTTTCGTTTGGGATTGTATTATATTTGCCTTCGGGTTTATATGATCCGTTCATCCTATTTTGACTCCTCAAAATTCAGGAGTCTATCCTAAATTGAGGTAAATTGTATGGCTTTCCAAATACCATTTCGATTCCTAACATCACTGAAGAGACATTAATTGTCGAAATCCGGATATGGTGTACAAAAACCTTTGCACCTTTTGTTTGCGGTATAACATCTTTTCCGCAAGTTTATTGTTTTCTGTTTAGTATTAAATTTATATTTAAGATCCATTTATTACATCGATGATCCGTTTATTTGGCAATCGCTAATGGCAGTCAGCAGGGTTTAAGAACATTTGTTGTTCGACCTGTTAGTCAAATGCGTTTTGTCAAAATATACTTTTTCATTTTTTTGGTCTTTTGGAAAATGTTGTTTGTGCTGTTATTAGACCCCTCTAACAAGAACTTTGTTTTGCATGCACACGTATAAAAATTGCGGTTTTTATCCAACGCAATCATAGGTTTGAACGTTGTTTTCAATTTAGACTTGTTTATATTTTTTCGTTTGGGATTGTATTATATTTGCCTTCGGGTTTATATGATCCGTTCATCCTATTTTGACTCCTCAAAATTCAGGAGTCTATCCGAAATTGAGGTAAATTGTATGGCTTTCCAAATACCGTTTCGATTCCTAACATCACTGTAGAGACATTAATTGTCGAAATCCGGATATGGTGTACAAAAACCTTTGCACCTTTTGTTTGCGGTATAACATCTTTTCCGCAAGTTTATTGTTTTCTGTTTAGTATTAAATTTATATTTAAGATCCATTTATTACATCGGTGATCCGTTTATTTGGCAATCGCCAATGGCAGTCAGCAGGGTTTAAGAACATTTGTTGTTCGACCTGTTAGTCAAATGCGTTTTGTTAAAATATACTTTTTCACTTTTTTGGTCTTTTGGAAAATGTTGTTTGTGCTGTATTTAGACCCCTCTAACAAGAAATTTGTTTTGCATGCACACGTATAAAAATTGCGGTTTTTATCCAACGCAATCATAGGTTTGAACGTTGTTTTCAATTTAGACTTGTTTATATTTTTTCGTTTGGGATTGTATTATATTTGCCTTCGGGTTTATATGATCCGTTCATCCTATTTTGACTCCTTAAAATTCAGGAGTCTATCCTAAATTGAGGTAAATTGTATGGCTTTCCAAATACCGTTTCGATTCCTAACATCACTGAAGAGACATTAATTGTCGAAATCCGGATATGGTGTACAAAAACCTTTGCACCTTTTGTTTGCGGTATACCATCTTTTCCGCAAGTTTATTGTTTTCTGTTTAGTATTAAATTTATATTTAAGATCCATTTATTACATCGGTGATCCGTTTATTTGGCAATCGCCAATGGCAGTCAGCAGGGTTTAAGAACATTTGTTGTTCGACCTGTTAGTCAAATGCGTTTTGTTAAAATATACTTTTTCACTTTTTTGGTCTTTTGGAAAATGTTGTTTGTGCTGTATTTAGACCCCTCTAACAAGAAATTTGTTTTGCATGCACACGTATAAAAATTGCGGTTTTTATCCAACGCAATCTTAGGTTTGAACGTTGTTTTCAATTTAGACTTGTTTATATTTTTTCGTTTGGGATTGTATTATATTTGCCTTCGGGTTTATATGATCCGTTCATCCTATTTTGACTCCTCAAAGTTCAGGAGTCTATCCTAAATTGAGGTAAATTGTATGGCTTTCCAAATACCATTTCGATTCCTAACATCACTGAAGAGACATTAATTGTCGAAATCCGGATATGGTGTACAAAAACCTTTGCACCTTTTGTTTGCGGTATAACATCTTTTCCGCAAGTTTATTGTTTTCTGTTTAGTATTAAATTTATATTTAAGATCCATTTATTACATCGATGATCCGTTTATTTGGCAATCGCTAATGGCAGTCAGCAGGGTTTAAGAACATTTGTTGTTCGACCTGTTAGTCAAATGCGTTTTGTTAAAATATACTTTTTCACTTTTTTGGTCTTTTGGAAAATGTTGTTTGTGCTGTTATTAGACCCCTCTAACAAGAAATTTGTTTTGCATGCACACGTATAAAAATTGTGGTTTTTATCCAACGCAATCATAGGTTTGAACGTTGTTTTCAATTTAGACTTGTTTATATTTTTTCGTTTGGGATTGTATTATATTTGCCTTCGGGTTTATATGATCCGTTCATCCTATTTTGACTCCTCAAAATTCAGGAGTCTATCCGAAATTGAGGTAAATTGTATGGCTTTCCAAATACCGTTTCGATTCCTAACATCACTGTAGAGACATTAATTGTCGAAATCCGGATATGGTGTACAAAAACCTTTGCACCTTTTGTTTGCGGTATAACATCTTTTCCGCAAGTTTATTGTTTTCTGTTTAGTATTAAATTTTTATTTAAGATCCATTTATTACATCGGTGATCCGTTTATTTGGCAATCGCCAATGGCAGTCAGCAGGGTTTAAGAACATTTGTTGTTCGACCTGTTAGTCAAATGCGTTTTGTTAAAATATACTTTTTCACTTTTTTGGTCTTTTGGAAAATGTTGTTTGTGCTGTATTTAGACCCCTCTAACAAGAAATTTGTTTTGCATGCACACGTATAAAAATTGCGGTTTTTATCCAACGCAATCATAGGTTTGAACGTTGTTTTCAATTTAGACCTGTTTATATTTTTTCGTTTGGGATTGTATTATATTTGCCTTCGGGTTTATATGATCCGTTCATCCTATTTTGACTCCTCAAAATTCAGGAGTCTATCCTAAATTGAGGTAAATTGTATGGCTTTCCAAATACCGTTTCGATTCCTAACATCACTGAAGAGACATTAATTGTCGAAATCCGGATATGGTGTACAAAAACCTTTGCACCTTTTGTTTGCGGTATAACATCTTTTCCGCAAGTTTATTGTTTTCTGTTTAGTATTAAATTTATATTTAAGATCCATTTATTACATCGGTGATCCGTTTATTTGGCAATCGCTAATGGCAGTCAGCAGGGTTTAAGAACATTTGTTGTTCGACCTGTTAGTCAAATGCGTTTTGTTAAAATATACTTTTTCACTTTTTTGGTCATTTGGAAAATGTTGTTTGTGCTGTTATTAGACCCCTCTAACAAGAAATTTGTTTTGCATGCACACGTATAAAAATTGCGGTTTTTATCCAACGCAATCATAGGTTTGAACGTTGTTTTCAATTTAGACTTGTTTATATTTTTTCGTTTGGGATTGTATTATATTTGCCTTCGGGTTTATATGATCCGTTCATCCTATTTTGACTCCTCAAAATTCAGGAGTCTATCCTAAATTGAGGTAAATTGTATGGCTTTCTAAATACCGTTTCGATTCCTAACATCACTGAAGAGACATTAATTGTCGAAATCCGGATATGGTGTACAAAAACCTTTGCACCTTTTGTTTGCGGTATAACATCTTTTCCGCAAGTTTATTGTTTTCTGTTTAGTATTAAATTTATATTTAAGATCCATTTATTACATCGGTGACCCGTTTATTTGGCAAACGCCAATGGCAGTCAGCAGGGTTTAAGAACATTTGTTGTTCGACCTGTTAGTCAAATGCGTTTTGTTAAAATATACTTTTTCACTTTTTTGGTCTTTTGGAAAATGTTGTTTGTGCTGTATTTAGACCCCTCTAACAAGAAATTTGTTTTGCATGCACACGTATAAAAATTGCGGTTTTTATCCAACGCAATCATAGGTTTGAACGTTGTTTTCAATTTAGACTTGTATATATATATATATCTATAAAACCCGTTTTGTATTTATAATAGGGCAAGAAACTAATTGAGCAAGAAGGGATCGAGACAGAAGAGTTTCTAGAATAATAAAAGTTGTTCCTATCTGCAAATGTTTCATTTTGCAATCATTAATAGGATTGAGATACGATGGACACGGGGAGTCTTATCGATAGTTTTATAACTATTAACTAAGGATAAAGCGGTGTGCACCTCCAGCTTCATATTCTCACAAACATACAAGAAAAACACACGGTGACATAGAACCGAACTTGTGTGACAACATTTAAGAATTTTACAATCTAAAATGAAAACTCTAAAGTGTGCGTCAGATCATTTAATGAAAAATTAGGATGCCTAACTCTATGGTTGAGACATGGATTGTGCTAAAAAGTCGGAAACAGTACTTATACAAGGAAAACAACTACATTAGAACTCTAAACAGGGTAATCTTCTGTTGAATATGCGTTTAGAAATGATTTATAGAAGATTAGCTAACGACATGTATGGATTGATATTATTATGATTGGAGAAGTTTATCAACATATAAAAAGTACATTCCATTAAGCATAGTTATTATATTGTTGTTTTAAAATATGCTTATATTATGTTATTTATGATTACTACATGTAGTGTGTTTGCTGCATCATTGTGAATTCATATTTACGAAAACGTGTATATTTGTATCTGTTAAGTCTAATGCACAGTGTTTTACTCAAACTGATGACTAATTTTGGCATACTGATTATAGATTTAACTTATACCTAAACATGTCCTAACAAAGATGAAACTATATTACTTAATAAATAAATAATTGACTTTTTTATTATTTTTGAATTCATTTCAAACAATTTGATATAAATCATGAAATAGGAGTTTTCACATAATGGATAAAAGGATTGCTCATTTACTTTTTGTATTCTGAACAACAATATATAAAGATGATTAAAATGAACGAGCGTATATCTAACAAATGTAGGAGATGATAGTATCCCGAGTGTTCCTTGAAGCAATGTAACATTAAATGACTGATACATGAACGTTTTTGGAATCCATGTTAAAATAAGTATAGCCCAATATCCAAATTTGAATTTTTAAACAATCACTAAACATACATTTAATTTTTCGGGATATTGTTTAAGCACATAATGTAGGTTTACATTTTAGATTTCATGCACACGGTTTATGTCCTTCTCCTATGTCAAATCGATCGATATTACTTGATACTAAATAAACTATCCACATAACGTAATTTAGCTGTTACAATTCTTAATTTAACAAAATTGGTCTATCGTCTTTTTTTTTGTCATATTGGAGCCTTTTATGCATATATGATTGCAATGCGTTATTGGTTTTTCTCATTGTCGAAGGCCTTATGGCGACATATAGTTACTAACTTTCACGTTATTTGGCCTCTGGTGGAAAGTTGTCGTTTTGGCAATCATACCACATATTTTTATTTTTATATCAAAACACTTTATGAAAAATGAACAGAAAACAGCCCAATACATCAATTTGATAAATCAGACTTAAAAAACCTGAATGAGTCTATGAATACACATTCTACAATCGTTTATGACCCAAATGTTGCAAATCACCTGTCCTACTTCCATGACAAATATGTTGTTGTCCCCGCAGATAAAAACCTAAACAACATCGTGTTTGTGTGTAAATCGTATTACATGAACTGCTTTATGTACGTCTTCTTTCTGGCGTTTAACCCCCATTGCCTGGCATTATGCTAGACTCAATCAATCAGTGCTTTGATGTTGATTTCAATTGATGGATTAACATATCAATCAATACACATCAAATACCAAATGGCTTATAATTTGTAAGCCATACGACGGGCGCTTTGTCTACATTAGACTCATCAGCCGTGTTCGAATTTTACAGTTTGACGGACAAATCAAAACTTAAGTTGATCAGCATTATGAAACGAAAATGCCGAAAAATTGTGCTAAATGCGACTAAGACAATCTAAGCATTGGGTAGATAAACATTTATGCTTCCAATAAATCAACGTCGTTTTACAGTAAATAATTAATCATTCATGGAAAACTCGAATATATCAATAAATTTACTTTTTTGTTTGTTTACAGACACTAGCTGGTGGTGTGGGTATCTGTGGTTATGTATTGCCTGTGGTTAAATGTTCACTCTACTATGGCTGGTTGCATACCAACTTGCTGTTTGAGAAAAGACCATCATCAGCTTTAAATCATCGGTAATTTATTAATTTACAAAAATGTGTTTGAAAAGAAATGCCAGAATATTTACAATTTTTTTTTGTAATAAATAACTCACTTAATTTCAATATGGCTAATATATGCGGGCTTTTTATAAAAAGCAGTTTTAACATGCAAATATATTTTGAAAGTATGAACTGATTATTGCTAAATTAAATTGGAAAATTTTTGTTATTCTTTTAAGAGTTAGAAGTATATAAGTAACATTACAGGATGTTTAAAAGGAAACAAATCAACCAGTATACGATCTTATCATTTCCAGCATGAATCTATCGCTTACATAATTAATTTTGTCAAAATGTTAAACAAATTCTTCAAATTAGAAATCTTTTATCTTAAATAGAAATAAGCTATAAAATGCAAACTTTATTCGTTACGAAGTCATTTGTAGGCACTTACAGTATTTTACATAGTTAGAAAAAGGAATAGAAAATGACATTTTGTAAGCTTCTCTTTCTTGAAACCTTATGAAAAATGCATTCATTCATTGTATTATATTATTTCATTTGGCATCGATTGAACCTCTTTGTGCGCTAGTACTGTGTAGCTTATAACATGAATTGTCACACTTAATTTATAGTTGTTGAACAGGTGTTTTTTAAAACATCCCCAGGAAAAAGACCACTAACTTTTGCACATCCTTCGGGGATGACAAATTAAGTTAACAGTACTTGCGTTATTAGCATTATTAGCACTATTCGTTTAGGCGTTTGATTTGTGTAAGAAGTGATAAGAAGGGACTTATTTAGTGCATGACAAAATATTAAATGAGAATTGAAGTCTCAGTAATTCTACATACTCGAAATATGATAACCGATATAATTATATTCAATACATTCAAAGCAAACGAATGTTCGTCAATATAAATAGGGAAAACTTTTCAAAACAAGAGTTAAATGTTTCATATATGTCTTTTGTTAACCAATTTTAAAAGAAGAAGTGGTTCGATTGTCGATCGGACAACTTTTCATCAGTTACCAAACTTTAGCAACTGTAGTTTACTATACGGCCTTTAAAAAATAGCAAATCCCACACCACATAGAGTCAATAAATGGCCGGTTTATGACTAATGTAAAACAATTAAAAATAAAAACAAACAACGGCCTGATTATGTACAAAACAAACGAAAACAAGATATGTAAAACAGCAACAAACGACACAGCCACTAAAATAAATGCCACTGCCTTAGGACAGGCACATACAAAACATGTCGGTATTGAACATGTTTGCGGGGACCCAACCCTTCCTTAACTTAGGACAGGTGTCTAACAGCGCAACAAGATGTGAAAATTAGTTGAAAAAATAAAACAAATGCTGACGTTTGTTCAATGCTAATACGTACTGATTAATCTATCATGCATCCAAAACTAAAACATGTAAAATATTAATCATTATACAACCAATAGGTTTAAGGTAAAGACGTCATAATACAGTCCAAGAAAAAACATGGTCTATTGCAATGCCAAAATATAAATATCAACAGGAATTAAGACCGTACATAATTGATTGATAATTCATTGCTTTACTTCCATTGGTAAATATTTCATGCACGTCAGGACGAAAAGTAATCAACAATAAATACAATAATTAGATGATGTAATACGGGTCGTTCGGGATTAAGGTTGGAAAATTTGGATAGCCACTGGAAAATGAGGGTGTATTGAAAAAGGACAAACAATTTGCCTTGCACCAGGTCACCAACGGACCCCAAATGAGTTGATGCAAGTGTTCTTCACTTGCGGAGAGCTTGGCACTGTCTCTACACGAGGCATCAGATTAATCGTACCTTTCTGACCGGAAGTTGCTGCGTATTTATACATCACGCAGATCAAAACAGACGCTTCAATTTGGAAAATGCTTACTGCCGGTTGGCAGGAGGCCAACAGTGACCATATCTATATCCCTAAGTCAGCCTTTGGGGCCGTATTAAATAGAGGTCTTGTGGTGGTCTAAAATATGAAGGCATTAGTTTATTAGAATGCAGAAACAAAAATAGTCCAAATTTGAGATCTTGTCATTTATAAGATACGAGCAAAGGCCATGTAGAAATAGTTTCGAGAAAAAAAAAATTGTTTTTTGTTTTTGGGAAAGTTCATAGCTCATGTCTTTGTTATTTAAAATCTCCGTGATCGATGGACAGTCATTGTAAAAAAAGTGTCAATATGTATATGTATGTTCATGTTTGTCTATTTTTACTTCACCAATGAAATTGTTGTGTAATAATTGACAGGCATCATCTACACTCTTGAAAATCCATTGAAAACAACACCAACTAAAAACATAAAACAACAAACAACAAAAGTAAGGTAAATATTATGTAACATGCACACACCTTAGGACCATATGTCGTAAAGATAAAAAACAAAATTAATATCATATGCAGTGCAGCAAAACCAACAAGATGAAACTAATTTAAATAAGGTATAGGATGAAACGACGACAAATAATTTTTGAAAGCAGGGTCAAAATGGCTCTTCGTCACTTTTGCTCTTGTGGTGTGTCGTCTCATTAGCAATCATACCACATCATCATATTTTCTACAGACGTATACATTATAATATTCATTAATACAATAGAGTAAACACTATTTTTCAAGGCTAAATGTTTGGGTTGAAATACGGACTCTCTAACTAATACCTCTTCTTTTTTATGAAGCTAGTGTATTTCTAAATTGATGTATGAAAGATACCAGCTATACACATAAACAGCAAAATGATCTTGTTGAAATCATTTCATGAATTAAACAAAGGTTCGGATTCCCTCGCGCAAAAATAATTTAATGAATTGTCTATACCTTTTTTATCCTTTTGTTCATAAGGCTCTTCTATAGTTCAGGTCTTATACCCCATTGGCTTTCAAGTGTTTGGTTTAAAACGTTTTATGTAGGTTAACCCAGTATATCGCTTTCGTAATTTGTTGATTGTATGTTGTTATTAGTATTCAAGTGTTTCATTTGGAATTAACACCAGAATATATTGATTTTTTTATATATGAAATAGTGTATGATGCTTTCACAAATTAAAATCTAAAATTTGAAATAATTAATTATGAAATGAACTTAATTGCTCTCCACACAACATATGGTCAATAAAGGCAACAGAAGTAAACGGCTGTTCAATAGTCGTAATTAAGCAAAAAAAAAACGAATCCGCGTAACAAACTAAAACCGAGGGAAACACATCAACTATAAGAGGAAAACAACGGAACAACAAAAACATTGAACCACAACAAATGCAAACGCCAACATACATGAAAACGGACTGTGGATAACAACTTCCACATTACTGACTTAATGCAGGGCGTTTTAAGAAAGACGGCAGGCCAAACCTCCCTCTCATATGGCAATGTTAAAAATACCATTAAGATGACAACACTACGTGACAGGAATACAGTACAAATAAACGCAAGAACACTGAGCACAGAGAAATACATAAATACAGAATATGATAGTACAGCTACAACACAGGTAAGTCAATTACTTAATATATGATAACTGAATTATATAACAGATGCAAGTATCTTATTCTCCTTATGATAATGATATCTGACAAGATTTATAAATTATCGTGGTTCCAGTTAAAGAAAAATACTGCATTTCATTTGTAAATTACAGTTTATCCAAATAGCATGTAACTTGTTTACTTTCACCATTGTGTACTTTATATTTTCTACTTTACATGATATATACATTATATTTTTAACTAATCCATGATTATTAAAAATGCTGTTGTACTTTCATATTAATTAAATGAACAATACTTTCGAGGACAAAACGGTAGAAATATAAGAGTTTTTTTTTTATATCTGAAGTTCCAATACTTAAATAATAAAACAACAAGAATAGTACAGAAATCGTGAAAAAACCATATACATGGCATTTCCCTATCTACCTTTTATCTATATTATACCCAATAATATAAATTAATCGCCATGTTTGACGTACGCAATTTCAAAATTAAAGTGTGTAATAATACAAATGAGTACAACATAAAGCCAAATAGCAATACACAAAACTGCTTTTGTTACACTTTTTAAACTACGGCGATAGAACATCGTCCTTGCTAAATTGATTAAACAGAAAACAAACGCATATCTATTATATTTTCATGGTATAATCAATACTTTCCCAACCAAAAGGACGTTTGAATGATATGCTAAACGTTGTAGAGGATTGCACAAAATCTCTGAATTTTATTCTTAAAGTTTGTCTTTTAAAAGTTGTTGGTAGAGCAATCATACATGAGGATTACACGTTGTTTAGGAACCGCGTATACGAGTTTCGAAAAAATAATGCGTAAGTTGTTTATTGGTTTTATAGCAGTACACCATCTATCTAAAAACCATTTTACTGTCTCCAGCTTCTGTTCGTCAACATCGACTGTGAAATAAAGCATGCGACAGTTTGATTATTGGTCTGTTATTACATGTGATGCTTTCCGAGGACAAGCTAGAAGATTTACAATCTAAGAAGAATGGCGACCTTCACAGAAATGTGCAGTATCAGTTTGAAATTTTATCCTTATTTCTTCACTGTTCATTTTATCGGCTAACGAAACCAGCTGGACGGTATTATAAGCTTTGGACCTACCAACAAAATCTGAGCTGATGTCGACACTATTACTAGCATTTTCTGCATGAATATTAACCACAATATTTTCTTTGTTTGCATAAAACGTTGAAATCATGTTGCCAATGTTTGTTTTTACAATTGGCCGGGTTATTTGGGTTTTTTCTCCTCTTTGTTGTACACATTGTTCATTCATGTCAAGTTCGGCTACATTTTTTCCACTTTCCGTCGTGTCGTTTATGGAGGCATCTGCTGACTTTTTATGGACCCAGCAACACATTCTACAAGCAGTATAGTTACAATATCTAAGTATAGCTAGATCATGACGTACATCATCGATGAAACCTGCATTCCTTTGACCACCAAAAGGTTCACACTTATCTGAAAAAAGCATTATAACACTATGAACTGTTATATATTCGAACTTACCTTCATTACCGTGGGAATTGATTCTGTACGACAGTCTTGATAAACTAGTTGTTCAAAATCAACAAACTCAATGTCTGACACAGATATATATTTCATTAGACGATAACAGTTTTTAAACCAACGTAATCACGTTCGTCACTTATAGATCACGAACAACCGACTTCTCTGAAAATGAACATAAACAGACACAAACAATATCGAACAACACATGGTTCAAGAAAACCTACTTTACACAGGGACAAACGGGTTTAACAATTTGACGTGCCTTCAATCCGCATCCCTTTTTTCTATCTAGATCATATGTGGTTAAACAAATGTACAGAGAAAAAAAAAGCATGAACATTGCAACCATCAAGGGTGGTCACTTACTTGAATTAGACATTGACAACTACGTCACATTGCTTTGAATATATAAGGGTATACATGAACAGAACTCTTCGCTTTTTTCAGGAATGCTTCCTTATTTCAAATTCAGCATGTCTTACGTATCTATTATCTATTATTTCATTAATTCTCATGACTTATTCATTTACTACTATTGGAAATGTATAACGTTTTTGCAATATTGTACATTGTATTTTGGGTATAAAAGCATGACATGTTCTCCTTGTATTATTCCACAAAGCCCATGTTTCTTTATATTTGTACATGATGCACCTTACTGGTGCATGACGAAAGACATGTTGAGTAATCACTCATTTAAAGGAGCACTAGCTGTCAAATTGATGTTCACTGATTTGACTCAAATTCTCACATTTGATTTATAACATACTATAACGTATATCCAAATTACGATAAGTCTGAAATACACAGTAAACAATGCGTGTACTCGATAAAATATATCAGAATTTCGTGTGTATTTTAGTCTAGACGCCATCTAATTAACTATCGAGATGACATCCGAAGGCTGCCGACGGTCACATAACCCGATAAACATAAACATGAATATAAATAGAGAGCGACCTCGTGCAATTGAATTTTTCTAGGTCTGTTTGAATTCGTGTTATAAGTTAAAAAAAATTAACTGTCGTTTTTACCTGTATAAGAATGATTTTTTGGATCGAATCAGTCGACGAAATAGTTCACCTTTGTTTCATTTTCAATTTTAACATTCTGTTCCCTTAAATGGCTGAACACGACTAATTCATGCGCAACCAATATCTAGGCAATGGTTTAAATTGAAGGTCACATGCATAAGGATTAAATAAGGTCGAATTATTCACTTGCAAGTGAATAATTCATCACCGATGTTTATTTGCTTATTGTGACAAAATTTAACTAAATTGGCCGCTAAAAGCGATTTATTAATTCATTATTTTACTTTCATTAATGGAATAAAAATCATATTCTATTTTTTTCATATCTCGTAGCTAGTGCCCCTTTAAAATACAACTTTCATCTGTTTCCTTTTTTTCATAATTTTGAAATTATTTCACGATACGATCAATCTGGATTTGTTATAACAAAGTTATTATTTCTGTTAACGTATACAGACTTTACTTTTAGCTTTAAATACTTACATTTCCTCTTCAGAAATATGACACAGACAAAACTGGTCAACAAGATTATGAACGATGCACATACACTGGTAATAGTTCCGACATTATGGAAACCATATTGAACATCTTAAACAAATTATAAAAATAGAGATTGGAATAATGTTATGGAGATTAGTCTTTTGTTTAATTATATAAACGAATATTTCAAAAAGTAAAGAGCAACTCTCACTTATTGGATTGTTTTCATCAATTCTGATATTCCTTACGTGAATATTATCTGATTGGTAAAAATACAACGCGACCTTGCTTGTAAAATTTCGTTTTTGACAAGCTGACTAAAGTATTACATTTCGTGTAGACACCTTTTTTTGTTTTAACTCTACTTGATGGGTCGTTTGGATGATCTAAGGTTTTACATATCCATTGCATCTTTTTCATTAATAGTACTTGTATTGTTATCGTAAAACTAAGTTTTTTTCGTTTTTGGTTTGTTTTTGTCTTTGCCTTCTAGTATACTGGTTTTATTGACTTAAACAACTTTAATGCTAAAAAAATCATTACAACTTACCTTTGCAATTACGCACAACATTAGTTGTTAGTACTTCAGAATAAGAACTTCCAAACACACATACAACTGATAGGTTCATTTCACAAATATGTATAATATACTTGGATGTTAGGTTTAATGTGCCTTGATAAAATACATCTTCCATATGCATATATTCCCTCTGCCTTGTTCGAAATAGGACATCCTGTAACAAAATTCACCTGTTGCTTTCACACTATGAGGATAAACTTACATGACTTGACTTAATTATTTGCATTCGTTTGAAATAAGTTGAAACTATAAGAGAGGAGATAGAACAAAACTATTAAATGAGTTTTATAATTCAAATTGTTCTCAATGGGAGACCTGAATGGCAGAATTCACAAACAGATAAATCCAGCATTTTCATGCGCTTGTCCGAAGACTTTTAAATCATCAATAGTTGTGTAATGTCATATCTTGCTATTTGTTTTATTTGTACACAAGGCGGGTTTTTATTGGTTATTTCGGATGTTATCTTTAGGCACATATAAGGGGTTTTTCATATATTTTGTATAGATCACATTTTTGGAATTGAAGAATGTAAGTTTCCCGTTAGGTTGTGTTGGCAATTTTTATAAAGTAGTTGCTTTATATATTGACGTGTACACCAATTTAATTAGAAAAGAAAGCATTACAAAACACCGGGCAGTATAATCTTTCTGATCTTAATATTTCGTTTTGTAAAAATTCTCACAATTTGATCGTTGAAGTCTCTTACATAATTTCCTTAATTGACTTGTACTATGTATTACAAAGCATGCATGTTTAGGTTGGCTGACTAAAATAAGAATGCATAACATTTATACCACAGAAGATATATTAAAGAATG